TGGTGTTTTAATATTTGCTTCCGTTTTTTTGTTTGAAGAATGGGTTTATAAGTTCTGAATATTAGACTTATTTTTCTTTGGTCTGAGGTTAACATGACTCTTCGCTTGTTTATGAACTGCTTTTTACTTGTCTATAATTGTGTGGGCAGTTCATTTGGTAACCCGATTTGGTCGTATTTGGCTACGTAGTCGTTTTCGAAATTCATTTTCGACTGATTGTGATTATTTTTTGAATCCTTTTGAATCGTCATTTTTCTATTTATTATATACAGTGATATTCTATCATTGAACCCAAATACTGGTTTACGAATGTAGCGAATGAAAAATATTGCTAAGCAGTTTTAAACTAGAACTACAATGTCACTTATTCGGAATTGTCCTTTCTAAATGCTGTTTTATTCTGCGCTTGACAGTGAAGGACTTTTAACAATCTAAATTATACCTCAGTTTTCTGCTTGCGGTTTCTTAGCCTTTTGAGTGGACGTGGTTTTGCTCTTTGAAAGCTTTGGCCGACTTTAAGTTTGGCTTTTACCACGTAATTTTTTTTTTCGGTGTGTGGTTGTAGAAGTTTTTTTGAGAGATTTTGCGGTATTAGTTTGGAAAACGATTTTTAGATTTTATTTATTTTTTTCAGCATGGCTAGGTCGCAGTTTTTTGAGATAAGGGATAAAGCATCATTCATGAACTGCAATGGGGCGGATTCGTTGCAGCTGGAAGTTACAGCAGAATTTGTACCAATGAATTTCTTGACGCGGGCAAGCGTTATGACCGAAGGGCCTGAGGTTACTTAATGAGTTGTTTGAGACATCATTTCTGCAAAATTTCTGGATTTATTTCCCACTTATTAAGGTCGAAAAGGAACCTTAGAGACAGGAGGGAAGAGTAGAGGAGTTTTATTCAAGCTGGATGTTTTGGCGACTCACAGTCTGCGGCATTCAGCTACATTTAGTAGTTTTTATGGATTCTGTCAGTGTTTTTTGGTGCAATTGGTTTACCGCTTGAATGTGCATCAGTGCAATACGCTGCTCCAGAATCTTAGGCTTATTTTAACATTAAGAGGAATTAAGTTGAAGGGACATGGCGGAGCAAGATATGGGATTTATTATGTGGAATTAATACAACTGTTTGAAACTACAGAACTGCCGTATGCCTCCAACCGATTTATTTGGCGCAGGAAGGCTTGAATTGCAGTTGATCATGTTTTCGGCAGGTTGAGAAGTTAATTGAATTAACCGTGCGTAACTCTGCATTAGAAGAATAACTTAGCTGAAGGACAAGACTGTGACATAAACAGTAAACAGTGGTTGTATATCTGGAACGGGAACAACTGTGGTCTTCTCGACACACTTTACAGTGGTCCTGTTTAACTGGTACCTCATCGGATACCCGCTTTACACCCCTCTGAACGGGTAAACAGAACGTGTAATTACTTCCTGGGACTAAAATTCTCTTGTTTCGCGCATAGTCCTTGCATCCTAAACAGCTGCTTAAACTGCCACTTTGGTGCAGTGCTTTGTGCGGACTGTCGCTACTGTTCAGTTTGATTAGCTGGATTTAGCTGCTAGACGAGTTCCCAAATCAACCTCGCCTCTCGGCTTTTCACATATTGTAAAGATTATTCATGAGACTTACAAGCGAGATGGATAGAGACGGACATAGTCTACGCATTCTTTCATTGAAATTTTGGGGTGTTTCAACCACTTACGTCTTTGGTACCTGGTCTCCCTGTGTTGCAAACAAAAATGTATTTGTAGGGTCATAAAAGCCGAACATGGTCTGATGAAACTGAGAAAGTTTTTAGACATACTTGGAGACATATCGCTATAATCGAGTTACAAAAAGTATCGTCATTGTGCTGTATTGATAATATCGTGAAGCGCCAATCTTTGTGAGGAATACTTCTGCTTAACATAATCAGAAAAATCCCTGATAGAAAAAGCTATGGAGCGAAAATTCTGCACAAGCATTATGTTTAGAGCAGTTTTGTAAACACATGCGTTTGGTTTTTCTGTGATACAGTTCCTACAGTTCTGAAAAAAAAAAAAACGTTTTGCAAAAATCCGGATAAATGTAAGTTTTTCGTTCGTTTTTCAATGATGAGTTTTTTGAACTCGTCACTGCCTCAATCTTCAAAATTATTGAGTGGAAGCCTGTCTATTTTTTTAAAATAATAAGTAGGTTTTTTAAATAAAAAGATAGTACATCAAATTTGAATAGTTTACAGATGACGGACGCAGTAAACTTTAAAACCAGTTGCGTGAGCCTACTGTTCTGCAGTAGTCACGTTACGTATCGTGTTTATTTCAAAAATTAAATTAAAATTGAATAAGTGACTTGTTGACTTTTTTCTGTAGCAAATGAACAGAAAATAAAAATCTATAAAATATTTCTTGAAATTTCTGAACATTAACATTTATTTTACACATACTAATTAGATGGAAATAGATGAAGTAGGCAACGACGTCATAAGTCATTAAGTTTAAAATGAAAAAATGGACAAAAATAATTTTGGAATTTTTAAAAATTTTTTATACTAACGACTGGTCTTGTTAAAATATGATCAGTAAGTTTGAAGAATCAATTTCACAGTTATTTATTTTCACCATCATTTGCATCAAAAAATTTTGTGGGCAAAATTTATTGTTTTATACCTTTTAGTTGCTGCACGGAACTATAATAACGGCAGTTAAGTTTACCATAAAATAAGTCACATTTGACGGTTTTGCAATGAATAACCAGCTAAAAATCTAAGTATTAAGTTTAAAAACTGGATCATTTTTGCAAGGCAAACTTGATAATGCACTAAAATATAGTTTTCAGTTCAAATACAAAAATGTCACGCAAAGATTGGAGTAGAGACGGAAACTACTGATAAGAAATTAAATTAACATTTTACAATAATTTTTTTGAAAATATATTTTAATTTTTTTTAAAAATATGAAACAGCAAATAATAATTTTTAGCTTGGAGTGGCGGCCAAAAATAGACAAAAATTTGCCTGTTTTAACAGTGGCATCAGCTCTTGAATTCTTCCGGATTTTTACCGAATCAATGTATTCTTTTTTCACAAAACTTATGCACTGATGGATTCATTAAAAAAATGAAAAATTTTCTTCTTTTATATGCACTTTTTTTGCATTTATCAATGTGAGTTTTTTATTCATAATCTTCTCGACAAAGCACTGTTACATAAATAAAGAAAGTTTGGAGTTCTTTGTACAGCAATAAATTATGCGTTATGAGAACTGCAAAAAAAAATATTATAAAAAATTTTTAGCATTTTTTGTAATAAAAAACTTCCAGTTATTTCTGGTGTCATATCATTTATCAACACCAGACTGAACAGCAACATTTGACAGATCGACTACGTGGAGTTGAATGAAAAAAACCCAAGTGGCAGCACTGCCAAAATTTTCTGTTATTTCAATGGTTGATTTTACAGTGTTGATGTTTGTTTCTTACCGTATCAGAAATTTGTGACATCTGATTATCCGGTGTCCAGACGCATAATGTAATGAAATTATTTGGAAAATCGAAAAATTGTTATTTCAATTCATATTTTCTTTAACTTCAGGTCGTTAGAAGTGTAAAAAAAAAAATGGGCGAAAAATTTAGTCTGTGGTACTTAACTCGAGTCGTTTCTAAATATATGCTACAACTTTACTACCAGATGTTGTTACACCAATTTTTGTAGTAGTTTTGTATCTGATACACAAAAGTGAACAAGGTTTACCTTTTGGAGAAGCAGTTTTGCCAACGACCTATGTATGTCTGATCAAAGTGTAAAAAAAAAAGCTTATAAGATTCTTATTCAGTGGCTAAGATCAATTTTGTGTTGCATTTCGTAAGTTCGGAATTTTTTCAAAGTGGTGGCAACTTTTCATGTCTCTTTGCTGACAAAATTTTTTAGTGATTTAGGTAGGCTAACAAATTAATGATAATGTTTGGTTCATTTCCGATCAATCATTTTAGCAACTGCAACTTTAAATTCAAAATTTATTTAGCGCAAAATAGTTTTTTGCAACTAGGAAAAAAATCTTACACCAAAAAAATTCTTCATGACCAGAATTTTGTGAAATATGACCGTGCAATTTATTTGTTCCTAGCTTTTAATAGTTTCAGATTTAAAGTTTAAAAAAGTATATCTTATTAGACTGAAACTAAAAAAAACCTTATTTTTATTTTTGACTCTAAACTTATCAAGTTTTTAAAAAAAGTTAAAAAACTACAATTTAGTTGCTTAAAAGATTCATAGTTTGTTGACAAAATGTAAAAATTTAGCCCTTTGACCAGAAACAGCTTGTTAGAACATCCTTCTTTACCTATACTTTTTTGATCTTAAAATTTGATAAAAAGAATGATTTACAAAAAATATGAAACAACAGCTGCAAAAAATGTTTGGCATAACATGGGATGACTCTGTAAATTTTGAAAATTAAATACGGTGAATAGAGTCAATCAACAACTGTACAAAGACAAATTGGTAGTCTTTGTCAACAGTTAATCAGTCACCTCGTTCTCTAATTTGGCATTCACATCCGCAATTTCTTCCAGCAAAAACTGCACAATTTTAGTAGATTCACTTTTACATACAAAATGCAGACCTCTAATCCAAAAAAAAAGGGAAACATCTTTTGTTCTCATCTACTTTAAGATGTTTTATAATAAATTTTTTATTTATCAACAAATCATTTCATGCTTTTTGTTTCTGATGCTGTAGAAATACAGCTAAACTGTTTTTTTTTTCAAACGCATTTCTTTGGTTCGTCATTGCTGAAAAAAAAAAAAAGAGAAACTTTTAAAGCATAGCAGTTCAGTAACCGACAACAGGTAGAGATGATTAGAGGC